ACGGGGTGTGCCCAGAGAGGGGGTTTTTTTGGAAGAATAATAACTTCAGGCTTTGTACAACATGAGGGCACAGAACCCTGCCGCTAATTCCAAATGAAGAATGAGAAATGGGCACGTGTCGATAGCTGCAATAAATCTTACTGACTTTATTACACGTTGTAATTTGGGATCACTTTACATTCCTAGACAAAAAGATGATACAAATAAATATCAGCTGTAAAACTATGGACAGAACTATTGACAGGTTTTTTTTGTCTACAGATCACCTAAGAGAAGGTGGAGATCGGTGTGTCTCCGAGGAGCTGTGAATTCTCATCTGGACAGCTGTGCCCGCAGGGAGAGCCTCGGGCACCTCACTTCAAAGAGAAAAGGGACTGAGGAAGGCAGTAAGCGCCTGGAGCACAGAGTTAAACCCCCAGCTGCGCCGTGCAGCGCAGACAGGACCAGCCTTCTCATTTCAGTTCCATCTCCACACCTAATGATGGCTTTTGCAGGTTATCTTTTCCAGTTCGTGTTTTCACACAGCGGAAACAGACCCGCAAGAGTCACACTGAACTGTTTAAAGCCTGGTGCGCATTAACCATGGCAGACAGAGGAGAGGACAGACCCAGGCTTGGCAAGCACTCTGTTCAGTGAAGGCAGACTTACTACACAAAAAAAATAACGAACACATGTCTGGTCTGATCTGTGTAATGCATCAGCGTAGCCCAAAATGCTGTGAGAGAGGTATGTGCTTCAGAAGATTCAAGCAGCATGCAAATTTTTTAAAAAAGGTGCTAGACCTATGTTCAGGATTTTCAGAAAGTGCTTTAATTCCTATGCTTCAGTGTCAGGCAGTGCTTGCTCCCAGAGCCAAGGGCCAACTTCTGGTGCAATGTCACTTTTTAAAAAAAGATCCCATTATACAGATCAGAGCAAAGATGAGAAGGATGTTAAACATTCCTGTGAAGAAACTATGTCGGCATACGCTGTCCGAGGGCCTCTTCCAGGAGTCAACTGGGTTTCCTGTCTTTGGCCGTTAACCTGCAGGAAGCCCAGATGGTTCAGATAACACCCAGAGAGGGCAAACTCGGCAGGAATGTTTCTTAAAAACTTCAACCCAGAGCTCAGTATCTTTTGTACAGCTTAAGACAATGTCTTTTATCTGAATATCAGTGCCACTGAATATCTGGTTGAGCGTAAGTCCATTGGAATGAGAATCTAAAAGCTTCTGTAACATTCTGAGGTTGCCCGTGAATACACTGACCAGATCTCCAACCACAGCTCCAATTTAAATACAATGACTAAATATGCACTTTTATTCTTTTTTCCACCCTATTGAATTGCTTTCACCTCGCTAATGAACTTCTACAGAACGAAAAGCAGAGCCTTTCTGACATATTAACCAGCTAGCTTGTCAACACTAAAACGAGAACAGTTTGGGTTAGCACTGCGATCTCCACAGAGCCAATCCTGCCCCGCGGGGAGCTTCCAGTATACGGGTTCAGTAGAGAGTTCCCTAGGGGACAGAAGTGACCGAGGAAGTGTGCGCAGGTGCAGACGCAGAGGTCTCTGTGTGCGCGGATTCCCATAAAACACATGTGTACACCGCTATGCACATTAGGCGGTTATAGATGGTGTCAGTATTTCAGGTTCCAGACCCCCCCCTTGCTTCATTTCAGCTCTCTGAGCACTCACACCATACAATCATCTTTTAAAATGTTGAAGCACAGAAGATGATGTGCTGGAGAGAAATAGGGAGGAGAGGGAAGGGAAGGTGACATATTCTGCAACAAGAGCCAAGTCAAAGGCGCTCTGTACATCGACAGCGTATTATAAAGGGAAGATGATGCCAGGCTTCCATGTTCAGGTTGAAAGAAATTTGTCAGATGCCTGCTCTCTCGGTTATAAGCAAACTCCTCTTTCCTCCACCAAAACTAATATATATATATGTGTATATGTGTGTATATATATATTAATCTTGTGTCCCAGAAGAGCACTCCGTGAACGGAAGCAGCCGAGCTGGCGTTTCTCCAGGCCCAGCTGGGCAGCCGGCTCACCCAGGCACCATGCCCGCAGGATGCAGAGGTGAGCTGTGCCGAGCGCCCGGTCCCCTCTGCCGCAGGGGTCGGACAGAATGGAGTTCTCCATCCTGGGGGAGGTCACCCAGCGGATACTGAATGAGCACACAAGGCTGAGTCTGCATGTCAGAGCGTTTCTAAAACCAGGCAAGTGCTCGTGCACTCACATGTCAGTCTGGAGGAAATCATCAGGGAGAGGAAACAGGTAAAAACATTCATGGCATGATAGCCAACAGCAACCAGAAAAAGGAGCATCCCGATTCTCAATATACAGTGAACTAAAACTTAAGAATGAGCTGTGAGACACTAGACAGGGACACCTTACTCTGTCCTTAGCGTGGCAGTTCCACCTCCCTCTCCCCCGCCGCACGAGCCCGCAGCACTACAGGAGCCTGCTTTAGTCATAGGGCAGCTTTGCAAAGAGACCGTCAAAAGCAGGAGTTCTTCCTCCCTTGTTTTCCAAGTAAAACCAGATTCCACCACCCAGTCTCATTTCCATGTGCTCTCCCTCCCCGGGGGCTCTGCTCGGGCTGGGAGGTGCAAAGGGAAAGCTTCTAACATGGAACAGGGTGAGGGACAAAAGGTACCGAACGCTGAACCTCCTCAGACACCAAGGGACGGGGCCGTAATTGCAAGAAGAGGCACCCCCAGGCAGCTCCACAGGACAGTGCTCCACCCTCTGCAGGAGAGCCGAGCCGGCCCCGTGAGCCGGCCAGGGAGAGAGCTCGGAGCCAGGGCTACACAACCTGCGAGCAGCGGGAGAGGTGAGAAAATGGCCGTGTGCAGTGTGGACACTGGCTGGAAATGCCAGGGGTAAGGATGGGGGCAAGAGAGAGGAAGAAAGCTGCGGAGCTGGCACTGGTGTGCAGGTGCATTCTGTGACGAGGTGGCTGCTGTTGGTAAGGGCGAGGTCTGCAGGAGGTCAGTTTAGAGCAGCTCTTACTTATGCCTGTAAACAAGGAAAGGACTGGAGTTTCTACGGCTTCCTTTCTAGAGAGCGCAAAGTTGCTTTCAAGACTCCTTTCTTGTCCTACAGCAGCTACCTGGAGGTGAGGACATGCTGCCCGCTGCCATCCTGCCTGTTCAGATCAACTTCTCAACCCCAAATGACGACGCCTGTCCTTCAAGCAGGAAGAGGAAAAACTATGCACCTAGTCAAGTTTGAACAGATCCTCTGCTTTTCAACCTCGTTTGGGTCTCACTGCGGAGCCCTGGAGCGGTGGTTCTGTTGAGATGACTTTCAGCTCTGTCTTCTTATCGCCCAAAGAAGCCCAGAGCAGCCAAAGGACGAGTGCAGGAGGAGAGACGGCGACGCTGGGAGGTGATCCTCATGCTTCCCATTGCTTCTAAAATACACTTGAACGTACCTCATGCATTTCTGATTTCCTAACTAAAATCTGTTTCCCACAGAGGCCAAACGCTGAATTGCAAGCACGTATCTTCCCGCGGCTCAGTGCACCTGGACTGGCCCAAGTCAGTTAAACAGCAGAGAGGCCACCTCCAGGAAAGGGGCTGGAGCCTGGCCGGGAGTTCTCTCTGCAGGTTTTCACTCGTCTCTGCTCTCAGAAGGCAAAGGCTGTTCGTGCCCCAGAGAGGAACATCCTGGTTTTACTTTGGAACCAGCCCTCGGGACTGCGGGTAGAGCTGAGAACTGTGGGTGCCTGCTGAGGAGGATCCTGCTGATTTTCTTCCAGTTTTAGGCCTAAAAAAGTAAAAATGAAAAAAATAAATGAAAAGCCCCAACAATGTCACCTGTTACTCATCAAAATTAATCTTCCAAAAGCTGATTTTTTTTAACTGGATTTATTCTCTAATCAGTCTCAGCTTTCTCTTCTCTCCTGTGTTCCTTTCTCTCTCTGCTTTACAGCTAAGCTCGCCTTAACTTCACTGACGAGAAGCGCTGGCAAATAGCAACTGTGCTGGTCCCTCGACTGCTGGTTAGGCTGCTTCCTAAGCATCCAGCTCACCTGGGTTTGGATTTTTTATTTGAAGTGCTCTCAAAGGTGGAAGCATCCACCTGTATCTCATCTTCATCCTGCAGAGCTGCTTCTAGAGCTGCCTGAACTTTGGGAGCAATGGCTGGACCTTCGTAGTCTCTCGTCGTTCGGCTGGGCATGTCGAGTTCCAGTAATACGATATTCTCTGCCTGAGACAGTAAAAGCAGAATCAAAGTCTGAACGTTTTCATATAAATCGTTTGTTTTCCCTCCAGAAGCTTATTCTGAAGTACGTTATAAATGTATGCAGGACACTGTAAAAACTTACATCCCACTGAAAAACCAACAACCCTCTGAAATTCCCATTTCCTGATGGGGAGGGTGAACACATGAGGGCTGTCATCACTGGTGGCCTTACCCTGTACCGAGCCTCTGGACAGATCATCATGGACGTCCGGGCGTGTTGGCTCAGGGGCCTTTTGTACCCTACAGCAGACACCGGTCTTTTCATCATCTGCTGGTTACTAGAGAAAAACAGATACTCAGGTTATTACACACCAAAACCAAAGGCTCCTCCTGGAGTTTATGAGCTAAACCATCTGCAAATCCCACAGAGAAATATGTCTCAAGAGAGCAGAAACGACCTAGGCTGCATTTGCAGGAACAGCTCTCAACAGCCAGAGACAAGAAGATGAGATATAAGTTATCCTGTGTCACCTGCTGCCTGCACAAAGGGGAGGATTTCTGTGTATTTTTACTGTCCAGACCACAGATGCACTCAGCTGCACCCAACTTTCTAAACTTGCTGTAGAGAACTGTCTGTGTAGAGAGGCAGGGTCTAGCCACGTCTGTGTAGAGAGGCAGGATCTAGCCACAGCTCTCATAATTATTATTATTTTTGAGAGCTCACCTATCTAAAACACAAAAGAAATATTATAGGAACTCACTGGTCTTTTAAAGGTGAATGCGCTATTACATAGATTTTCCTATAATTATTGGGCTCATCTAGAAGAAAAACCCTAATCTTTCAAGAATTTTCCTAACTGTACATTCTTATTTTATTCAGCGTACTAAGAGGAACAGAATTTTTTATTTATTGTGCAGGAAGAAGCTACGAACCCTAAGGGGCCACTTTAAACCCCCAGTTCAATCCCTCTCTTGGGGTACCTTGTTCTTGACAAGAAGGGGGTTTTCTGTGACCCTAATTCCACCCCAAGAAAAGATCAGCAGTACACTCACTCCAGACGGGTTATGGGATGCAGCTTCCACTGGTCTTCCTCTTCATCAAAGAATGATCTGTTCATGATCTTATTTTTTTCTTCCAAGGGAATAAAATTTTCAATAATCAGGTGCCTACACACAACCACAAAAATGGGAAACACACAAGAAACATAATTAGCAGCTGGCTTTCTCCACTGCTCCTCTCCCAGTGACTTAATACAGCCCTGGAAAAGGAGGGATGTTTTAGTTTCCTCATGTTTCAATCTTGTTCCACAAGCACATGCAATGCAGCCCCTCCATCTCAGTTCATGGCAGGCGGTGAAGCGACGGGACTCACTTCAGCTTTAGTTCCCTGGTAAGTTCATTCTGGGTCTGTTCCAGCTCCTGGCGCTCCTTGATGTGCTCCTCCTGGAGATCGTGGATCTCTGCCTTCACAGCTTGCAGCTTGGAAAAGAGCTGAAGAGACACCAAGAGCCAAAGTCACCACTTGCCAATGTTCCTTCCACTGTCACACACCAGTGATTTCACTCCTGACCCACCACACATGGAATCTCTTTTTACCTTTTTGAGTTTTTTGGTCTTGATGTCCACCTCTTGCTGAAGAGAACTATAGGTCTCCTTCAGCTCTAGCGTTTCCTCATCCCGACTTTCCATCTGTTGCTGGATCTCTCGCTCCCGACGTTTCTGAAGAATGTGACATACAATATTAAAGACCACAATTACATTGCTGCCTCCCAGCTGACGTACATGAAACCAACGCTCAGTATGTTTTTACTTCCCTGGGCTCCAGGGCTTTTGCTTTAGCTTCCAGTTCTTCCTATCTCTTGCCTTAGAAATACCAGAAGCATTAACTCTTCTTTATATTGCTGCTACAATCAGATGGTGTGAATACAATGACAAACAGGACACAAGCCCTTACCCCTTCTTTTGAGATTAATGATTGCCATTAAACTCATTTTAGGGTTAACTCTGGGCATATTTTCTTATAGTTCCTCCTGACGCCATGTTTTATAAAAGTTCTGCAGCTAGGCTTTTTATACACAACAAACTCTCTTCCTGGTACCTGTTCTGCAATTTCCTGTCGTTTCTGTTCCAAGATTTTCTGCTGTTCGTTGGTGTGATCCACGATGTTTTTCCCTCCCACCAGCAGCTTGCTTTCCATCGCCTGGAAGGAAAAACCAAGGGCAGAAGTTTCTCTCGGTGATCACAGAATACAACTTTCCCTCACATGGACACAGCTTCTGCAGGGCAGCTCCCTCATTTAATGTTCTCTTTCCAGTCAGCTGCTACAAGAATCACTATTTCTTAACGTTCCTATAAAACTGGGGGATTAATGAGACAGTAACTTGCTTACAATCATGCACTGCTGCTAGTGGCAAAGGTGAAGAACCCAAATGCTGCTCTCCTGTCAACAACTTGCTCACGAGCTGTGACAGAACGAAGCATTTTTTGTGCTACAGCCTGTTAAAAGATGTATTATCGCATTTTACTACTCTGATTGCTTACGATCCTACAAGATCAGCACATCAGAACAACGAAACAACTCACAAATACCGAAATATGTAATGAATGGTGGAAATGTCAACTTCTGTCTAGAAAGAGTTCATTTTAACATCTTCCCATCTAAGCAAATCACCATCCCGGAAACTTCTTGTGAGATACCTTTCCAAACGGGGAAGCCCTCTATTCTCCCCACAGCCTAAATAAATTGCTTTCAAAAAGTATGACGAGGAAGAACTCTACCTTGATTTTAGCACTCAGCATTTCTGTTGCTTCCTTCTCTCGCCTCAGGTCCTCCATTTTCTTCTCCTTCTCTTTCAGCAGTCTCATCTTTTCTTCTGCTACCAAACTGTGATCCTCAACGATAGCTTTCTTCTCAATCTCCAGCTTTTCTTGTTGCTCCCTCCAATAGTCATCTTTGTCGTCTCCTTCATCCTCGCCCTCTTCGGTGTCCTCCTCCTCTTCCCCACCATCTCTCCTCCTCTCCCTCCTCTTCCTTTTGCCTATAGACCGTTTTTCTAACTGTGCCTTGAGTCGAGCAATCTCTTCCTGGAATTCTCGCAGCAGAGCGTCCTTGGGATCCTCGTTCACTCGTGGCTTGTTCTTGATGTTTTTGGCACGGTTGGCGTATCGCAGCGTTGTCAGGGTCTCCTCCACGTTGTACGAGGCAGGGCCTATGTTGGCCACCATCACCGTTTTGGCATTGCCACCTAACGAGTCCTGAAGTAACCTGGTCAGCTTTGAGTCCCGGTAAGGAATGTGGGTGCTTTTGCCGTCTACCAGGGCGGAGATAACATTGCCCAAAGCCGACAGAGAGAGATTGATTTTGGTGGCTTCCTTTAACCTCTCCCCCTGAGCTCCGGTCTTGGCTTGGCGCTCGCTGCCCGCCAAGTCCACCAGGTTGAGTTTCCCCACGCGGATGTGATTCTCTCCATCGAGTCCTAACTCGCTGCATTCGATAGTAATGACAAAAATGGCGTGAGACCGAGAGCTATGCTCGTTCATGTTGGTGGCACCAACAGAGCGATTTTGGTTTCCCACATTCATGACGTGCTCTATCTCTTTGACGCTTTTTGTAACAAAGGAGGACAAATCCTTCACGTACACACCTGTGTCTGGTCTCTCCTTCAACTCCAGCCGCTTGGACTGATCTTTTGATAACAAGTCTCTGATTTCTTCCTGGTATATTTCCAAATACGACGCAGCTGATTTTGAGATCTCGAGATGTGGGTGAAGATGTGATCGAAGGAATTGGGGATGACTCCTCTTTTTTCGGGATCACCGCGCACCCCTTCCATCGTATATGTTTTCCCTGTCCCAGTCTGCCCGTATGCAAAGATTGTCCCGTTGAACCCTTGCAGAACAGAGTCCACAAGAGGTCTGAAGGTCTCATCATAGAGTTCAACCTGTTTGGAATTCCAGTCGTACACAGCATCAAAGGTGAAAGTTTTGGGCAGTTCATGAGATGTTCCCCGCGGATTCTTCACCGAGACCTGCCCTAACTTGACATCCACGTTAACAACTCTTTCATACGAAGCCGTCTTCTCTTTGCTGTTCATCGGCCGGCATCGTACCACCACCCTGACGGACTCGGAACTCTTTAGCTTCGACATGACCGCAGCTCTGTGGCTGGCACTGCTGGAGCGATGGATGATCCCGTGCTGGGAACCTAGAACAGACACAAAGGAGGAACGTGTGAAGGCGGTTTTCTGCAGGTGACAATTTTTGACTCGTTTGTTTGAGCGGCATTTTGTATTCATTAAGTTACAAGGGATTTTAAAGAATAAAAATAATGTACAACGTGAAAACTTTCAAAAGGCCTGAACCGAGACAGAGTGACTTCACCAAAGCCTGTCCATCAATCGGCAGCATTTATACAAGCCCTCCTGCAAAGAATCCTCATCAAATCACGTCTTTGCAGCTGGCAGAGATCCTCCTCTTGGCCTTTGAAAATAATAATAACTTTAAATTAAATTTCATTATTTTAATTTACGTATTAT